GAAAAAAAAGAAAAAGAAAAAGAAAAAGAAAAACCTCAAAGCCCTCCCCTGGTGACGTACTTTAGCAAAGCTCTACTCCTAAAGGCTCCATACCCTCCTCCATAACACCAGCCGGGACCAATGTTCAAAGGCATGAGCCTATGGGAGACATGTCATATTCAAACCACAACAGCTTAATTTTCCAAAAATACACATTGGTAAAAGAATGGTAAGAAAATCCTCAAATCCCCCTTCATCAGACATCCTGTTCAAAATTTGTCTACTGTCCCAATGGCCTCTAGCAAAAGCTTCCAATCTAGCATCAGGGATCATTTGGTTGTGCTTTTTTGATTTGGCAGTTCTTAAGTTTTTCCTTGACTTTTACACCTGTCATTTCTGAAATGTCTTCAAGTGGAGATCACTGGGGCCGATGACAAGTGGGGACGGTGGAGAGTGTTCAATGAGGAAGAAAGACGGGGGCTGGATAATTAGACTGTGAGGTTCGGTGTGGGATACAGAAGAGCGTGGGACAAGGGTGGACATCCGAGAGGAAGGAGAGTATGCCTTGTTATCTTTATCACACGCTGAAACGGAGCCAGCTAGTTTTACGTTCCTCCCCTTTTGTTTTCCTGGTGTAACTCCGAAGTGCCACCTGAAACATGCTTTTATACCCCAAGTTTTAAAGTATATCCCGGGGGTCAAGTTTGAAGACTAATCCATTAGAAAATAATTTCAGAAGCCCTAAGGCTTTCTGTGGAGCTCTTAATAACAAAGGATTTTTGTTATCCAAGCATCGGTAATCAGATTCATGTTTAACCTGTGACTCATGGCTGTTGCTTTTGAATATGGAGACATTGCTCATTCTCCAGCCACTGATTATTAGGCAGAGGAGGCTCCTAGAAACACTTGATAATTCAGAACATTTGAGCCTTTACAGTGCTCCTTGAAGTAGAAACCATTTTCATCAGAAAAACACCTTGGAAAGGTTGATGGACGTACACATTAAAAATCTAAAATTGCATCCAAGACTGGGTTTACTAATTTGTTCTTGTAGTTATGTATTTATCTTTTGAGACGGGGGTCTCCCTATATTACCCTAGCTGGCCTGGAACTCACTGTGTAGACCAGGTGGAACGAACAGAAATCTCCCTGCCTCTGCCTCTGCCTCTGGAGTGCTGGACTTAAAAGCATGCCGTACCATGCCTGCTTCACTGCCTTTTTTCCTTTTCTTTTTGAACTCTAGCAATAATTGATG